TGACACTCAGCACTGGGCAGCGTAGTTTGAATGGCTGCTTGGTGTGAGAACTGACAATACTTCACTAGGGGGAGGCTGAGGAGCCCCTCACCTAGCACAGTGGGAGGCATGCGGCTTGTTGAGGACCATGGCTTTATAGCAACCAAAAAGCTCAGTAGAGTCTCCTTAAAACAGAAGGTATCTGCATGTCTCAGGTCTATTGTATAAACCAGCCTTTGTCAACCAGGGTGCCGTAGCTTCTCAGGGGTGCCTTGTACTGTTGTGATGTTAGGACTATGAGGGGGGACTGAGGGCTTCTGATGTGAAACGGGGGGCTCTGTTGTGAAGGGAAGTTTCTCATTTGAAGGGGGGACTTGGATGTGAAAGGGAAAACCCCACTTTTTTGTGTGCTTTTGCGTGGGGTCCTCAAAATCCACTACATTTTACATTGGGGTACCTTGAGGTTTTGCATACTTTTAAAGGGTGCTGTGACTGAAAGAAGGTTGAGGAATGCTGGCGTACACGATTCGATGTCACTCTATAAGTATACACTAGATGGCGCCATGACACAGACTTACATCAACTGGACCATTTTCTCCCAATTGTTTCATTTAAGTTTATTTGTTAAAGAAGAGCCCAGTAACCGAAAATAGTGCAAAGCAACCAGGTTATTGTTTTCTTTTTTGAGCTGTATTTTGTAACAATGTAACAACCCATTTATATGAAATGGTTGTATTTCTATTAATAAGGAGAAAACATTGTGTGGTGGATTACAGCGAGAAGCTGACTCTGCTATGTGCAGTCCCTGGGGGTTTGTACATCAGTAAGAGTTCAAAGTCACTTCGCTGAAGGTCTTTTGTAGCCATCTGTGGGAGAGGAAAAAAAATCATTTAAACTATATCTAATCCCAAGAACAAGAATGTAATATATTTCAGCTTTCGAGTTCTTGGATGTGGTTGGAACATTAGTTTTCTTTTTCTTCCTTTTTGCCCCTTTTTTTTTCAGCTGGTGAACCTGCCAGTAACACAGTTCCTGTCCTAGGAACAACACTTACTTGTTGTACTGCATCTATGAAGCAACTGTATCAGGAAGTAAGCTAAGACTACAGAACACCTCCTCTTCTCTTTATCGCTCTAGCATAGAGGGAAAGTGTTATGTAGTAGTCCACAGAAAGAACTGGGCACCATACTAACTGATAACAGCAAATGCAGAGAGCACAGGAAACATATCACAGCTAACTGGATTCCTGGCAGGATCAACAGGGACTGTCTGTACATCAAACAGATATAACAAAATACTTTCAATTGCGTGTTTAACAGACCAAGAGGGAGCAGACAAGAGAAGCTTTTCTTTGGGTTTACATACACTTCAAAGCCTTCTGGCTGAGGAGACACAACATATGCACATAGTTACATAGTCACATGGTATTTGAGGTTGAATAAAGACACAGGTCCATCGAGTTCAACATTTGTTTGTCTGTGTGTTTGTGCGTGTGTATATGAGTCCCTGTGTGGTCTAGTATTTAAGAGTACCTGTACCCCTGTATGTTATGGTCTCTGAGGAAGGTATCTAATTGATTTTTGAATGATTCAATACTCTCAGATGATACCAGTGCTTGCGGCAATGAGTTCCAAAATGTAACCGTTCTAACTGCAAAGAATCCCCTACGCCCTTTGTGGTGAAATCTCTTCTCACCCAGTTTTAGGTGGTGGCCTCTAGTCCTTGTTACGGAGTTTACTGTAATTCGTGATGTTGCCATCACCACTAAACATTTTGTACATCAAAAGCATGTCCCCTCTTAATCTCCTCACTTCCAGCGTGAACATGTTTACATTTAGTAACCTTGTCTCATAGCTTTGGTCCTCCAGCCCCTTAATTAGTTTAGTTGCCCTTCTCTGGACTCTCTCCAGCTCCAGGATATTCTTTCTGTGGATGGTTGACCAAAACTGGACCGCATACTCCAGATGAGGCCATTCCCTTTTTAATACAAGACAGCACTCTGCTCGCTTTGTTTGCTGCAGCCTGGCATTGCAAACTATTATTCAATCTGCGGTCTACTATGACCCCCAGATCTTTTTCCATTTTTGACTTCCCTAGTGGAGTTCCCATCAATATGTATTCCTCTGGCCTATTTTTAACCCCAAAATGCATTACTTTACATTTATCAACATTCAACCTTATCTGCCATATAGTTGCCCACTGCGCTAGTTTATCCAGGTCCTCCTGTAATGTTATGATGTCTAAGTCTGTGTCTATTACCCTCCCGATTTTAGTATCATCAGCAAACACAGAGACATGGCTATTGACGCCCTCCCCGATATCATTAATAAGCAGGTTAAACAGTATTGGGCCTAGCACAGAACCCTGGGGCACGCCACTCCTGACACCTGACCAATGTGAAAAAGAGTCATTTATCAATACTCTCTGGACTCGTTCCTGCAGCCAGTTCTCTATCCATGTACACACCATTACATCTATGCCCATAGATCTCAGCTTGTGTACTAAGCGGTTATGTGGTACCGTGTCAAATGCTTTGGCAAAATGCAGGCACACCACATCCACTGGCTTTCCCCTATCCAGATCAATGGTCACGAAGGGGTTACACAGCACACATTTCCAGCCCGCTGTTTATCTAGTCTTTGACATCAATTGTTGAGGTGATTCAGGTCCCATCCTGGAAAATACACGGAAGCAGATGTGGGACAATCAAACAACAACTTCCTCCTTTCATCTGTCATCTGTGTTTATGACGTCCGCAGATATTTACCTGGCTGCACCTGGTTATCGGAGCGAGCCAACACCTTCAGATTAAAGTAACACTGCACTGAGAAGATACATACACTGCCACCGCTGCCTGGCATCCTCTAGCAAATGATCATTGGCTGGCTCTTATGCTGTTCCAGAGGTGTCGATAATTACTGAGCCATTGACCTGGAAACAGCCAGTCAACTAGTATTTTCAGAAGGTAGCCGACAAATATTTTTCAGCAAAGGCCACTATAGCCTGATTCCTGTGAAGTGAAGCTTGTTTTGGGGCACAGCACATCTCAGATCCCTTCAATGCTGCATGCAGTATATTCCTGATTTACCTCCTTCTGTTCCCCAACTGGAGAGATTACCCCTCATACAGTTTCATTGCGACAGATTCATGTCAAAGTAGATAGTCCAATTAATTGAAAACCAATCAATATATCAATATATAGTGGCCCATTTATAAGACTGCAAGCTTCATATCACAGCCTGCATCATGCAGCTCATTCATAAAATACAGGTGGCACTGCGGAGCTTGTGGTTTGTCACTGAGGTCTCTGCAGCAGAGAGGAGGTCCGTGTGCTGGGGTGCCATTCACTAAGGCTATGCATCGGCACTGTAGCACACCACAATGTGCCGGAACACGTCAACTTGCTTTAATTGCCGAAATGCACATATGTGAACCCAGCCTTAATGTGATGGGTTTCCAAACTGACCAACAAGGAGGCTTTGAAGGTAAGACGGGGTGGAGCGCAGCTAGATTTATATAGGACAAGTTGAGCATTTTGCTTGAAATCTTCAGCTCCCTACATCTAGATCTATTGACTGCTTGAAGACATTTGTTATTTTCAGTGTTGGATAGAAAGTGGAAGGGACCGGGCTGGGCAAACTCTGGTCCTCCAGCTCTTGTGGAACTACAAATCCCATGAGGCATTGCAAGATTCTCACTGCCACAGGCATGACCCCCAGAGAGGGATGCAGGGTGGTTTTTGTAGTTTTGCCACAGCTGGAGGGCCAGAGTTTGCCTACCACTGGGATAGACCCTCCATCAGGGTTTTGTTGCTGTCTGTTCCCCCCACTGAAGATGTCCCATTGACAGTGTGACAGAAAATATCGCCATTAGGATAGTAATATAAACCTGATAGAGAATCAAGCTTTTGACCAATTAAACTGGACAAAGAAAACAGATTTTTATTGTTTGAAATCAAAATCAGTTTTTAATTTCAAACAATGAGATGTGGATGAGAAGCCATGGCTGATGTCATACAACGTTTGTTGAGTGATGATAGAAGAAGGATGTGGTGCAATGTGCAGATCAATAGGCTATTTCTGGCTCAGTATCGCTAGTCACCAGCAGTGAAGTTTGGGCTCTGCCTGGCTGGCCAAATGATGTTGTGAAATCACTGAGACACGTCTTGTAGAAAACGCCTCGCGGCAATTTATTAAATAGGCTTTATAAAACATATTTACACATTTCATCTCCTTAAAAACACATTGAAAACTGTACATAATGATGAAAGAATACACAAGTATTTACTCTTCCCATTGAAGCGGAGGGAATCTAATGCTTCTCAGAAAGTGGATGGAAATTCTGCTCTGCATTCTATTTAAAGGGTCACACCACCAAGTAATGGTATTTAAGTGTGTGGTAGATGCTGAAGGGTGACATCACACACTGGCTTCTTCTCCATTGGTTAGATCACTTGAGTTCTGCTGTGGTCTCCCTGTTGGATTTTAGTTAAATGATCTATCATGAATGTATCAATTAAGAAAAAGGGGATCACACAAACATATGTGGGAACACACAAATATTCCAGGTGGAGTTGGAATTACAGCAGGGAGCCTTCTTGCTGGAGAACCCAAGACACATAAGAAGCCAGGTATGATTCAGCCCACCAGGCTATAGCCAACATATAACATTCGTGTGTAATGGCCCTTCAAAACCAAGATGCTTTACAGACCCAGCCCCCTGGATCCAATCTCTACCCAGCTAGCTCCTATGTAAGCAAAAGCAATGGCCATGCAGGAGTGGTCTACCACGAGGAGCTAAGAGGCCTGGATAGCAGACTTGACAAATCCAGGAGTTTGGGTCTGTCGGCCTTGTGGTCAAACTTGAATCCCTTCTGCAGCGTATATTTCACTCAAGCCCCATTGGGGTTTACTTAAAAGCCAACCCCACCCAAATCTGACACCTTATCTTTGGATGGGGGCAGAGAAGGTAAACTGAAAACTTCAGGTGTACTGTTTCCCCACAGTGGGTTGCCTCTCCAGTCACCTCCACAATGCCACAATAAAGTTGTCCCTCTTTTGCAGTTGTTTTTGAATTCAAGATGGAGTTTAAAGGGGCCGATTAGGTTTCCCCTTAAAGCCCGGCACCTATAGTTTAGGACTCTTGCATGTCGCAATGATTGCTTTGGCAATCCTGTTTCATAGGAAGACCGTCCTGTAAAACCAGGTTACCCAACACACCTAGTTTCCCTGAGCTGACACAAGCTATGAGTCACGGCTAGGTGCGACACACACTGTTAGTGCAATATTCGGGACTTCCTGATGAGGACACACAAGTCAGTCCAGCTAATAATATTACCCATCAGAGCTACAATATCACTGCTACTAGTACGGCAAGCTGTGGGCAGAACGCCATTTGCAGTGTCCATTGTCCTGAGCAGTGGGTGGTGCCCCCTACAGGCAGAGCACAATAGTGAAACGGCCTCTGTAGTGTGTTTAAAGTCTCTGGCCTTCTGCTTTGTTTTTACGTACGGTCTTCTTTCATCCAGGGATGCTGAACTATCTGTTCAAGAGAGGGACGCTCTGAAGGGCGTGTGGATAAACACCATCGGATCAATTTTTCACATTCTGGAAAGAGAGAGAAATAGAAATATATTAGATATTGCTGCCCTGGAATCAGCATACAAAGATATTTACATTCTAGGCTTATACAATGACCACAGTTCCAAATAAAACGTTTTGGGGGACCATTTTATTTTATATTTTTTTCGTTTTGTTTTAACATGTTCCTATTTTTAAACTTATTTTCTAAATTATTTTGTATAAATAACCATTTAATAAAGGCTGCAACCATGACACTGACATCACAGAGTATTTTCTAAAGAGAGGGCACAGTAGTTGTATGCTTTAACATAGCAGGCAGGTAGTGGGGGAGAGAGGGAGCAGTCACCCCTCTCATTATTTAGTTGTGAATTTAAAGCTAAATTATATGCAAATGAATACAGTTCGGAGTTTATTATTAAACTTTTTATTCTTTTAATGCAAGCTGTGTAAGTACCTGAATTGGACTTGGTATCAGACTCTTGCAGTCCCTATGCAACAGAGTTAAGAAGTTGGAGAGGAAGAAGCAGCATAAGGGCCCATTAGGATTATGTGCTGACAAGGAACAGCTGATAGGAGCAGAAAGCAGAGTGATGAGTTCCTCACTGTGCTGCTTCTCCTTTCACTGTCCATAGGTTAGGGGAAGGTCTATAACAACCTGGGCTCAGTGGAAGTTGGCGGAATCATGCAGGTCATCATTCAACCCAATGACTGAGGACATCTAGTGGCAGAAAAGAAGTACTGCAGGGGATAATTCTTGCAGCAAATGCTGCTATTTTATATTTTAATCGGCTATTTATTTTTACATATGTTTTACTGGAGTCCTGCTTTCAGAGTAAGCTATTGGGGTCTGTAAACAAATTTCTTTTAATTATCAAAATAGTGGTAACATGTGAAATGAGCATATAGCACATCCTGTTGGTTGGATAAGTAAATATGAAATATTCACAAGCAATATTTCATATTTATTTGACAAAAAAATGAAAATGACACTTGTAAATTGTATGTTTTTCCTCCTGGACATAATAACTAAAGGAAGTAATAGAAAAACACTCCATTTAAAATGGGTGCACTTTACGGTGTGAGTGGGTGTCAGTGTACAGCCTTATGATAAAAGAAACCTTTAGAATGTTACTTCTAATTTCCACTTGAGAGTCTCAATTTGTGCCACCCTGGACCTGTAACCCACCCAATGTAGGTACATGAACCTTTTGTGTCTGACTGTCTTACCTGGGGTCACATTGGTCCTGAAGTTTAGCTGCGCTTGTAGAATTTCCTGGTCTCTTTCAAAGGGAATGTCTCCGCAGACCATATCGAACAGCAGGATGCCCAGAGACCAGACTGTCGCCGGAACGGCCTTGTATTTATGGAACGCCACCCACTCAGGAGGGCTGTACACCCTGGTTCCTGCAGAAATGAAAAACATCTTTTAGACCAATAATCTTCACAAAACTATAACAGCTAATGCTCTATGCTTTGGTTTATATGATAGTTTCTGCAGCTTTCACCAAATGCATTCCTCCATGCTACACATTTCACATGAAGCCACAGAAGCCGCAGAACAGAATTGCCACTGCCATCACCCAAGCTTGATTGGCCGCCATGCACGGTGCAGATCACAATCACCAAAGCTTGATTGGCCGCCATTGCATGGTGCAGTTCTCAATCACCAGAGCTTGATTGGCAGCCATGCACGGTGCAACTCACAATTACCCAAGCTTGACTGGCAGCCATGCACGGTGCAGTGCACAATCAACCAAGCTTGACTGGCAGTCATGTATAGTACAGCTCACAATCAACCAAGCTTGACTGGCAGTCATGCATGGCACAGCTCACAATCAACCAAGCCTGACTGGCAGCTATGTATAGCTTGACTGGCAGTCATGCATGGCGCAGGTCACAATCAACCAAGCCTGACTGGCGGCTATGTATAGCTTGACTGGCAGTCATGCACGGTGCAGCTCACAATCAACCACGCTTGCCTTGCAGTCATGCATGGTGTGGCTCACAATCACCCAAGCTGGACTAGCAGCAATGCTTGGTACAGCTGACTGTTGCTTTTGAAGAGAATTAGTACTTGCAGGATTTTATTTTCCCTCACTTCCTTGTCTTGGTGACACCTTGTCATACCTGACACATAGGGTATCACTGAGCCAAGAAGGAAGCAGGAAGTTGTGACCTTCCCCATTCTATTCAAAACTAAGCAGACACTTAGGTTGGATCCTTGCTATTTTTTTATGAGGGATTACTGTGTATAAAACATAATTTACCATCAAAGTCAGTGTAGAAGGAATCCTGCAGCAAAGCTCCAGAGCCGAAGTCGATGAGTTTGACCTCTCCCTTGTGAGTATTGATTAGAAGGTTCTCGTCTTTGATATCGCGGTGTGTGATGCCATGATTGTGACAGTGCCGCACCGCCTCCACCACCTGCCGGAACAGGCCTCGCGCTATCACCTCCTCCAGGGGCCCTTGTTCTGTGATCACATCAAACAAATCCCGACAGTGTTCCGGCATCTCCATCACCAGCAGGAAACTGTCCGTTGTTTCAAACCAATCCAGTAGCTCAATGATGCCCTTGTGACCTTTGACTTTCAGCATCAGATACACTTCCATGGGCACACGAGAGAATTTACCCTAAAAAAACAGGACAAGAACTAACGTCAGGGGTGAAGGGAATGAGAAAGGGCTCAAAAAGTTTATTTAAAGTATATAAAGACCCCAAACTGTTTATTTTAGAATTGGGAAGGTTATTACTGTGTTCTCGATTGGAAAAGTCAACCCTCTATTTGACCTGGTGGCCAGAACAGGAGGCGAGGCTTAAGTTTGCAATGGGGACAGCTGTCTAATATGGTATTTCCTCTCACTTTGGATAGATTGCTCTCACTTCTATGGGACAAGAAGTGAAGAGAGATCCCCCCAAGGGGTTCTAACCATTCCCTACTCTCAAAAATGAAAAAAAAAAAAAATGAAAAAAACCCCCAGAGTTTTGGCTTTATATATACTGTACTACTATAGCTCATACATTTACAATAACCCAATGACTGGTCCAGTGAAAGATGATTTCTGATTGGTCGCTCTGGACTAGTGCACATTGCTATTTGCACATATTATGTAACTAAAAGCCAAATGTTTCTATACAAAATTCAGAACACATTTGTGAAAGACTTTAAATGTTTTTTGTAGGAGTGTTAAAGGAATCTTACCAGCTGTGCCCATTCCACCACACGACTCTTCAGGATATGCTTCACTGCCACCTGGGGGAGCAAGAGATCAGTCAGAGTCTGCACACCAAGCCCTTGTACAATGATATGATGCTGGCTGTATACTCTATACTATATACTCTTGTAGCATTTACCTGTACGTGGTCCGTGAGTCCTCGTGCCGTGTAGACTGTACCAAATCCGCCTCGTCCCAGGACAGACCCCAGCTGGTACATTTTCTCGAAGGATGCCCTGTCCTTCCCTGTAACAACACAGAGACATTGCAGTAGATGATACTTTATCAGTTAGAACTAGTTTGATGCAATGTTTTTCTTATTTCCATAAGGGATCCATAGACACATGCAATGCAACATTTACCTAAACACTTCATTGTAGACCGATGACCACATTTCAACTTTTACAAATGGGCCCAATAGATACTTCAAGAGTCGGTGCAGACATAACACAGCAACACCAGCAATAAATACTATTTACAACAAGGAGGATAATCTCACTCCCTTGTTTCAGCATTTGGGCTGGGGTTATACTGGTATTATAGGGTCACCATACACATTGCATCCTGACCTGCACAATCCCCTTTGGATTTACCAAAAGTATGTAATAAAGTATCTAGTCAATTTGTATCCAATCAGGCAGGTCCTTGTGCTACATTGTTGATGATAGATCTAAAGTATACTGTGCTATCAGATTGTAACATGTGTGGTGAGCTTGAAGGGTCAGCCAAGCCAAAAATGACCCGGTGGTGGATTTGATGTGGTAGGGTGAATCCCCTTGCCAAATTCTTATATCTCTCAGGGACGCCTGCAGAGGGCTCTCTACAGCGGGATTCCAAACATTCCCCTAACCCAACATTGGGGGGAAGTAATAAGTCTCTCAACTTTGTCTCAATTGGAGCTCAGCCAATCAGCTTTTTTAAGCTGATTGGCTGCTATAGGCAAGTGCACCCGTTGAGAAATACTTGTCTCAGACACTTATTATTAATTCTCCCCATTGAGTCTCACTCCTCCTGCTGCCTTCTAGTGTATGATAATATTAAAAACATTGACAGAGAAGGTAAGTCCCCCATTGTAGTACCTGTTGGGCGGAACTCAAGTCCAGAGATGTCACCGCCATAAAATATTTAGTCCATTGGTTCAGTAGACAGAGATTAGATACAACACACTTGTCCACTGGCCAAAACACAAGGCATTGGTTCTGATAAGTGAAAAGGCAGCTGGATATCAGGATGAATAAAACAAAAGAATCTATGGAAGCCATGTTCCTAGGGAACTCTGCCCAGATCTCACAAGTGCCAACATGTGAGCGCCCATGAAACACATATCCCAGTGTACCCAATTACTCAGCACCAACACCCAGAACATTGCCCCATGACTAAGACAGAGAGATCAGCTCTGCTGCTAGTACGGGCAGGCATACATGTGCTCAGCAAATACCTTACGTCTTGATGATTAAAAATACATAGTGGGAAAGGAACAATCAATAAGTATAATAATAATAACACCAGCAACGATAACAATAGTAACCAGAGCTTCAGTGGCTGCCATTCAATTGCCATGCATTCACATTCACTTGTATGAAGGGATAAAAGCAAAGCACAAAGTGATCTGAAACCCTCATATACACTATTATTAATAATAATAATAATAATACTGATCATTCTTCTAGATTGTAAACTCTCACAAGCTCTCTCCTAAACCTCCTATAATGTAACTGCACGGTCTTCTTCTTGTATTTTGTAAAGTGATGTGCAAACAATGTATAAATCCCATATAATAATAATATTGATAAGCCACAAGATGAGACGATACCTCATCAGGTTTGCTCATCTAAAATGTATTTCATTTATAGACAGCAGCAATATTGCATGTACAACAATTACCCACAACAACAATATGATTCAATAATGCTTTATTATTAGCATTTTAGATTTGAATGCATTATTTAGTGCTGTATAACTATTGCGTGTGAATGAAGTGGTGGTCAGACATGTTTCCTCATACTGTCGCCTTGTGCTGCATATAGAGAAATGAGGAGCAATGCCTCGGATGAAGGGCATTGTAGTGTTCTGTGACAGGCAGAAAAAGCCTCTGCAGTCCATGACAGCAGCAATGCTCAGGCAGGTTGTATCAAAACTGCAGAATGCTGTGGCATGCAGAAGACTCCCCGTTATTTTGGCTACAACCATAATGTCATCAGTAATGACATAGGAATAATGTGATTAGAACTGTTGCAATGGGCTAATACTTAAATACAGGGAACTAACTAATATACTGTACAATTTCTCTCATTCAGTCCCACAGGGTGACTAAAAAATAAAATAAATAAAATAATAATAAAAATAAAAATCACTTGATTCCCCCATCCACACTAAAAAGCATAGAGAAAGAGACATAACTCATAGTGAAGCTGAAGAGGGTCAGTAAAGAGAAACAGCAATGGAAGTATTACCTGAAGCAGGGCTCAGACTGTCCAGAAAAGTGGTGATCATTTTCCAGATGCGAGGGTTCCAATATAATGATGTGGAGAAGGGAAGGGCTAGAATCTCCTCCTCTCTGGGTGATGCCTTGCTGTGTGCTCTGTCTGCTGCTCTGACAGCTCTCTGAGGACCAGAACAGTTGGCGTTCCAGGTAATTGTAAAGAGAAGGGAGTGGTCTGTGGAGGGGAAGGGATTCCCAGCCAATCAGGGAAGAGAACTGAGATAATATTCAAATTTAATAAGGAGGACAACCAATGGGGTTTGAGAAGAGAGAGCGGGAGAAACATCAACATTTCCTCCTCATGTTTACCATCAGTGGGGTGTGAGTGGGTGTTGTACTAATCACACTGTATACACTGTATACACTTCTCATTGTTTGATCGGAAACCCCTTCTTCCAAGTATTAAAGGATTGAACTATGAGACCCCGATACACTCCAACATTAGACATGTGTATACTAGGAATAGGATTTAGATTATCATTTACAGAACAGTCACAGACAATCATTGGTACATTTAATTGGCAATACTAGAAAGCAGGGACTCTCTGGGGTTAAAGTTTATGTCACCTTATTTTTTTAATTTCATATTTATAAGAGGGTGCAGTAATATGTGTATCTTAAAAATACTAGTCTCTCATTGTTTCAGGCACTGCATAGACCAGGGGTAGGTGGTGAAACTACAAATTCCATCATGTCTCTGTCTCTGGGAGTCATGCCTGTGGCTGTCATTCTTGCATCTTACAGACCTGTGATATTACAGATGTATAACAAGTCACCGGGGAGTTTATAACCCTTCCACTCAGTGTATAGCTGGGCGCATGGTGTTCCCATAGCACTACTGCCACCAGATGGCGCTAAGGAGCATTCCTATACTCCTCATCGCCATCTAGTGGAGATAGTGCCATGCAAATGGCATCCGTACAGAAGTGTTATAAATCAACCCCCCAAGGAATTTGTTAGGGATGCACCGATACCAAGTACCGTACTCGGTACAAGTACAGATACTTTTCGCGCTCCAGGACTAGACTAGAGAAAAATTCATAAGTTAGGAGGCAGCTGTCATTTGTAAGGAGCACACGGAGGTCCTGGGATTTGTACATCTCTGGTTTAATGTATGATTTTGTTTTTATAAATATATATAAGGGATGCACCGATACCATTTTTCCAAGTCCAAGTACTGATACTGGTCCAAGTACTCACAGATACAAGTACTGATACATTTTTGTTTATTGTCATGTGACAGTTTTTCTAACACAATACAGACTAATGATTTCAGGACAGTGGTGGGGGGCCAGAGCCAGGTCCCAGCTGCAACCGCTGCAACCCTGGTAGTTCTCATGAAAATGCAAAGTATCGGCACCGGTATCTGAACATCCCTACTGTTTATAAAGTATTGAATGTGACTTTGACCAAACATTCACTAGTGGTGAATGAATCAATGTCATTTGAAACACATGCACCCGGAAGATTTACTTGTAGAGAATGTTTGGTGAATGTCAGATTCACTGCTTTATAAATATACCCCTAGGAGTCTGGATCCGTATAGAGTTATAAATCAGCCCCAAAGGATCCATTTTCCATACAATGTGTTCAGAGTTGTATTACAGAGTTGTATGTTACACAGTAACATTCAGAGATAAAGAACAGCTCTGGGTAAAAATGTTATTAACCCTTGCAGTGGGGCTACCCCGCACTGCAAGAGTTAAGTGCTTGTTGTTGCCTGAGGTCTAAAATAACAAAGTTATACTCGCCTGATTCTCAGGGCCGGCCAGCTGTGACAGCGCTCCCTCCAGCCTGTATCCTCCTACGCTGCAGTGATGGTATGTCCCTCAGCGTCCTCATGTCTTATACACCGTGATGACTCAGGGACCTTAGACCGCCACTGCAGAGAGCTAGCCCACCTGAAACCCTGCAGACCCCAACTGAAGCCCTGCACATACCAGAGACCCTGCACAGCCCACCTGAGACCCCACACAGCCCACCTGAGAGTGACCCTGCAGAGCCCACCATAGACACAGCAGAGCCACATGAGACCCTGCAGAGCCCACCATAGACCCGCAGAGCCCTCTATGGACCCTAGAGTGCCCACCTGAGATCCTGCAGAGCCCAACTGAGACCCCGCACAGCCCACCTGAGATCCCGCACAGCCCACCTGAGATCCCGCACAGCCCACCCGAGAGTGACCCTGCAGAGCCCACCTGAGACCCAGCAGAGCCCACCTGAGACCCCGCAGAGCCCAACTGAGACCATGCAGAGCCCACCTGAGAGTGACCCCGCAGAACCCACCTGAGAGTGACCCCGCAGAGCCCACCTGAGACCCCGCAGAGCCCACCTGAGACCGACCCTGCAGAGCCCACCTGAGAGTGACCCTGCAGAGCCCACCTGAGAGTGACCCTGCGGAGCCCACCTGAGAACCTGCAGAGCCCATCTGAGACCCCGCACAGCCCACCATGGACCCTATGGTGCCCACCTGAGATCCTGCGGAGCCCACTATAGACCCCGCAGTGCTCACCTGAGATCCAGCAGAGCCCACCTGAGAGTGACCCTGCAGAGCACACCTAAGACCCTGTAGAGCCCACCTGAGACCCCGCAGAGCCCACCTGAGACCCTGCACCTACCAGAGACCCCTCACAGTCCACCTGAGAGTGACCCTGCAGAGCACACCATAGACCCAGCAGAGCCCATCTGAGACCCCGCACAGCCTACTATGGACCCCACAGTGCCCACATGAGATCCTGCAGAGCCCACCATAGACCCCCCACATACAAGAGAACCTGCACAGTCCACCTGAGAGTGACCCTGCAGAGCCCACCATAGACCCTGCAGAGCCCACCATAGACCCTGCAGAGCCCACCATAGACCCCGCAGAGACCACCATAGACTCCGCACAGACCACCATAGTCCCCGCAGAGCCTACCTAAGACCCCGCAGAGCCTACCTAAGACCCCGCAGAGCCTACCTAAGACCCTACCTGAGACCCCGCAGAGCCCACCATAGACCACGCATCGCCCACTTGAGGGAGCCCACATACCAGAGACCCTGCACAGCCCACCTGAGATCATGTAGAGCCCACCATAGACTCTTTATGGTGGGCTCTGCAGGGTCTCAGGTGGGCTTGTCAGGGTTCCTTTCCCTGCACACTGAGCTCCTCTTACCTTTTAACCCCTGGGCCAATCACTGCTGGGCCTCAGCCTCCTCCACCTCGGCCGCCTCCACTGCTGCCGCCGAGCCCCCGCGCCGTCCTCCTCCTCCACTGCCGCCTCCTGACAGGGCCTCCCTCTGCCCCGGGCACCATAACGCCACTGCTTGCAGTTCAGGGGTAGCCCCACTGCAAGGGTTAATAACATGGAGTTCTGCTCCTGGTACATGGTAGGAATAAATTTAAAGCGGAACTACACCCTCCTATCCTTTACAGCCAAGGAAGGCGCCATATTAGCCTCTATTTGCATTGCAGTTGCCATGGTGTTGCACATGTGATCAGCTATGACATCAAGAGAGCTGAAATAAGCACACTGACAACCTTGACAGTTGACATGCCTTGAAAGTGACTGTTTTGGGACACATCTCATGTGGGCTGTGCCTGCTTCCACTATAGTGGGATGAGATGTGGTGGGGGTGTGGCTATCAGCATTGTTACTCCACATTCACAAGCCTGTAGCTTGCCAATCAGCACCTGGCCACACCTAGTCCAGCCCACTGCTTTCTGGATTGACAGCTCTGCCTTTGCTGCTATAAACCTCTCACTGTGAGCTGCAGTGTTGGGGAGGGGGGAGTGTGTGAGACACAAATGAAGAAGAATTTGGCACGGTCAGGGCAGGTAAAATTGAAAATGTAATCATACTTACCGTAATTTTATTTTCCTGGTTATACTCCATGGCAGCGCTGACAAATGGGTTTAGATCCAATTACCCCTAGCTGACAGGAACCAAAAGGGTTAAACAAGCCCTAACCCTCTCTATAAAAGCCCCTCCTCCTGCTGACTTCCCCAGTCTAGTAACAAGCTAAAAACTCCATAGGGTGGGAGCCCAGCGCTGCCATGGAGTATAACCAGGAAAAGAAAATTACGGTAAGTATGATTAAATTTTCAATTTTCCTGGCCCTATCCATGGCAGCGCTGACAAATGGGGATTACCCAAACAGAAGTAAGGGTGGGAACAAAAACAACCCTGTCCTAGGGGGACAGGAACAAAAAGATTGGGGAAGTCAGCAGGAGGAGGGGCTTTTATAGAGAGGGTTAGGCCTTGTTTAACCCTTTTGGTTCCTGTCAGCTAGGGGTAATTGGATCTAAACCCATTTGTCAGCGCTGCCATGGATAGGGCCAGGAAAGGAAGTTTTTTGTTTACTTTATGAGGCTTCTGAATCATAAAGTAACTGGATTTCAGGCTTGTTTAGACTGTCATAAGGGAGCCTTTAAATCTACTTTAAGACCAAAGGCATTGTATATGTTTACCTTGCCAAAAACATATGGTGAAAGTTGCATTGCAGGTTTTATTAAACTCTTGATCTTACAAAATAAATGTAATAGCACACCTTATATAATTGCTGGTTTCCTGTTCTATTTTATGTGAAGCATGTCTTTGCAGGAAAACAGGCTTTTTTGAGTTCATACTATATCATTTCCCACTCTAGGGTGGCTCCACTGTCTTTCAGGGTCCTCCTGGAGCCGGCCTATTGTGTACGTGCTCCTGTGCTAATCTCTCCTGCTTTCTCCTCCTATCAGCATGTTCCTGGCACTATATTCAAACTAAATGGCTACTTCTCCCTTCCCCAGTCTGAGATCTGCTGTACTGTTCTGCAGCGCTTGAGTACGCTTCGGCTACGCAGTTCTATGCAAAATGGCGGAGGATTCAGTGTTAAATTGTGCCATGAATGCAATTTTCCCTTTTTTACGTGGGAAAAATCGTTATTAAAGGAGAAGTATGAGGTGAGTGCTTTTCACTCGCCTCATAAGAACTATGGGGAAAAGCCTTAACCCCATATCTCTCCTTTAACAGATCTTCATTCACTCGTC